AGAGCAATGGGACAATTTTTCAGCTATCTTTATCCTTTCTCGAGTTTCACAAATTTCTTAATAGGTAATATTTGCTGCTTCGAACAGTTACGTCGTTGGGCGCCCCTGTAAAATGATTATTAACATTAAATCTTAATAGGTGAGAACCAGACCAAAACATTGTATTTTAAGTAGTGCTTGGCTAAACATGCTTCGTGTTTTTTCGTTTTCTTGTGGCAATTTCAGCTAGTAATGTGGGAGCTCCGCGTAAGGTGTTTCCTTATTGGTCGCAGAAAACAATAACACATCATTGTTTATCATTATTTCCTCACTGTTTCACAGTTGGGGTATCGAATTAGTAGAGCTGCTACATCCGTTTCAGCTACTCCTAATTATTGCGCATAAATTACGAAGTTTCCGGGTGTTCTATTTACAAGCTCCTCTAGCCAAAATGCAGTGAGACACTGCTACCACTGACAAAGGAAAATGAGTAGCGTTCCACTAATAGAAGCATTTGGCCGCATCGTGTATGGTTTTACACGAGGATTAACCGAACACTACAATCCAGACGAACCCGAATACACAGCAGAGATTTTAGGCTACCATCCTCTGGAAAGCACAGGGCGAGAATGGTATTATAAACCTGTGAAAGAACTAATTTATCAAGAATACGGTGAAAATAGAGCATCACCACCGTCATTTAATCTCAACATAAGGATTATAAATGCGAGTTCTACACTGGAGCACGATGAACTACTGCAGAATGACGATACAGAAACATCGGGAGCAATGGCTTGGAAGTCATTCAGACCTTCTATTCGTCACACTATTAGTGACTCAATGTTTATTGGATCTTTGATCTCACCCCTGGCCTCCATTAGCATTGGTACCATATACATCGCATTAGCTTTCCTGATTTATAAAACAGTGATGAATTGTCAATATCAAAAGGAGAAAATGACTTCGCGCCAACAGTGGATGAGGACTATTGCTGACGTAGTTAGTTGTGCTCTGATTTACTTCTCTCCGGTTTTGAATTTACTATTTTTGTTTCGCTCGTTTCAGCTGAATGGACTTAAACAAAAACTACTCCAGACTTGTCTAATTATATACTGTCTGGATTCACTTTACCGCGTAACACTGCAACTTATGGGAAAGCCTTTTTTCACACTTTCTGGCTTGTACAACATTCCAGTTTATATTCTTTGGTTATGCAGTTCAATTTTGCAGTTTTTTCTTGTGGCACGACACTTTTTAAATCGATCAAAACATAAACAACTACTCCTGCTTGGTAAGATGTCTGTTCCTACTATTTGCTGTGTTATTTTGGGTTTTTGCATGAAGTACTTCATTTACCGAGCTTACAACAAAGAAAAGAAAGAAGAAAGAAAGCTGGTTATTGCTCTATTTTCTCCTCTTGCTGGGCTGGTAGTAAAGGCTGCTTCACGAATTTGTGTTCAGCGTCTTTGGAACATCACTCATCCGGGATATTCGTACGTACTTTTAGCACCATTGTATCTTGGTTCAGCGATAATGGTCCGTGGTTTACAAGCGGAACTTAACAGCCTCCAATCCATCGCTATTCTTGGAATAATTCACGGGGCTGCAGAAGTCGTAGAACGAAGCACCATAGTTGTGACTGATCACGTTTGTCATTCGCTTCGGACAAGAAAGGCATCTCCATGGGGAAGTTTTCGAACTCCTCGCCGGGAAAGACTAACAGCCGATGTAGCTATCATGAGTATGTTGTACGAATCAACCGCTATAGTTTCTGTCAATGGCTCCCTCTACATGTACCAATTGATCTTTTTAGAAACGACTTCTGTCACAAGTATGATTAAAGAGTTCGCTCTTTCCACTTCAGTCATGCTGGTAATAGAATGGTTTTTCACCAGCGTTTCTCTAGCAATTGAGACTCGATATCAGAACATGGCTGTAATGGCTGTATGGCGTTGTCAATGGAAACGACATACTTTAGTAGCGATTTTGAATGTATTATTCATAGGCGTATGGGTCATCGTGAATCTCTTAGAAGTCGTACACGGACACTTTATAGGGGAACCCTTAAAGAAGTGCAAAATGCCATTTTCCTAGTACCACTTTTCCATGTTAATTTTGCAAACCAAAAGAGAAAAAGAGACTGGTGTGATACAGAACGTTGTAATGACAGATTTGTAATGGAAATTTAAAATCATCTTGCTATGTATTCAAAACAAAAATTGTGTTAACCGATGTACATTATCGTCTCCAGACCCCGTCCGTTTGTGTTGTTCTTGTGGTCTTGAAACGAGGGGCTCTGGTAGCAGCCATTATCGTTTGTCGGGTCTGTACAGACGTGCAAATATCACCACTGCTCAGTACAAATTAGGCCGAGTGACCCTGGGGACGAGAATAAGCTGATCGGCATTTCCTATACTAATACAAGCATTTTTTGGAGTACGACATGACATGAGGAGCAGTCCACTAATGGAGTTCTAATATAAGCATTTGGCCGCATCATTCCATTAATCAAAGAATACTAAGCAAGTGAAGGTAGTATAACGAAACAGTAAATGGTGACAGTTCACATATCGTTATTCAAAAGTATTTGCTTTTGGTTTACATTAAAAGGGTTCATAAGGGGGACAAATTCTCTGATAGTTTGGTGCAATTAGTGAATATTGGAAATCAGTTGTATTTTAAACTGTTTTTTTTTAATTGAACAGGTAGTATTTTTTAATGCTGACTAAATCTCCAACAATTTGGACTGTGTTTGATACTACCTAATACTACCAAAGGCTTTACTGTTACTATATATATTGACTTGTGTGTGCTTCCAGAAGTATTATCAACAAACGGCTTAGCGCATTATTTTCAGAGTATAAATGGCCGGTACTATTAATATATGTAAACTGAAAACAATTCAAGTTTACAATGGTCGAGGTAGCATATCTGACCAAAACAAGTTGAAACAGCAAGTTCCACGTCAGTTATGCCGTTGCAATATATTCACTCTTGCTACTAGCTCGAAAATAAAACCCACGTGTTACTTCTTTAATTTCAATACAATAATTACATAATATATATGTTTTATAGTTTTCAATAAACAAGATATTGTCATTAGGAAGCCCAAGTACAAGCAGTTGTGGTAGTTGTCATCTAGAGCCACTTCTCGACAACCTTTTTTCTCCAGCGCGGCCATATCAGACCGGAAGGGCTTTGCATTTTCTGGGTCACAACGTGATTGGCTATGCATTGAGCCAATCAGGAAAAAATAGGTTTTTCTGGGAATCCGTGAAGGTCTTCCTCGAAAGAAACAACAATATCTATTTCAAATGCAAACAAGCTTGCTCTTTCAATACTCCAAGAAATAATTATTACATGTATTCTGTGAAAATAACTGAAGCTTGAGGATTTGGTTGTGTAGCCAGGTAAGCATGCGTGAATCACACAATGCGTCCGCGGGAGCGGGAGGCTTCGCGTACGAAAAGAGGCCGAAATCCGATCCGTTCTTTTGTCCGATGTAATACACGATCTTTTTTCACCTATTTTAAATTTTCTCTTGAAAAGCTCTTAAAACATATCTACTTTGCCTTCGAATTCTATAATTTTAATAATTCAGCTCAGCATATCTCAGATATCTGCGGATAAACGAGTTTGGTTTGTAAGGTGTTATCTTCCTCACTGCAGGCGAAAGTCATTTAGCTTTATCAAAGTCTCTCGTATTAGGCTAATTCTAAAGTCCGAATTAAAATATAAGATTCTCGTTAAGTCCCTGAGTGTCAGTTGGTAGGACTATGTTTTGATGGAATTTTTAATTAACAGCGCCAGTTTTTGCAAACGAATTTGCTGATCAATATGTTCAAAAGACTGACGTTTACCGCAGTGCACCGAGCTCTGGATGAATGTCAACATATTTGTGTTACGCAAAGCAACGGTACTAATAGTTTTCGTCGATTCTTAGGTCTTCTCTCAACATTTGTCAGCTGATTTGTAAGACGACTGTTATATTCTCAAACTGTTTGGCTATGGAGAAATGACTTGAGCGGTTTGTGCACGAGTCATTGCTCGTCCCGTATTCTGCGTAATATAACTTCCAACGGCACCTTCAATCACCATTATCCGAAGCATCAGTAACTTAAAAGCGCATCTTTAATTAGCCTGAAAATTTCAGCTTTCTTGGGCAAAATAATGTCTCGAACTTTCTCAAAACAACTGTCACAATTCGACCCCTACGCGAGAAATATATAAATTTACTGCCAAATTTTGGTATCAATGATAAATAGTCGTTTAAGAGTTTTAGAAGGGATAGTATCAAACGGTATTAGCTTTCTTATAGTACCATGTAATACAGTGCTTAAACATTAAAACGCCATTTGAAGAATTCTTCCTTAACGTCCGTGAGCCCCTTGATAAGGGTACTGTCGGATGTGGAAGATCGTTCTCGAAGGCAACAGCTAAAAATTCAAGAGGTCTTGAGTTTAATTTCGCCGGGTAAATAATCCTTGTCAAAGGATTTGAGTTCTAACTCTTGACTAAAGACAAAACCTTAAGGTGTAACCAGAGGTTACCTCTGAGGTGTAACAATACAAATAAAATCTTTTTGGCGGTACTTTCACACGGTAGTAGTATTTTTCAAATGTATCTCACAAGGTGGAATTTGGAATTTGGAATTTTTTGCCTAATTGAGACTTTGATCACTTCATGGATTGAAGAGGTTACAAGAGTAACCTTCTCAACAATCACACAACTACAGCAGAATCCCGTCTTTTCGAATCACCTTGGGAAAAGCAAATTTGAACAATCAATTGTTAAGTTACAGGGTTTGCCTGGTGAAGGGAAGTTAGGTTTTGGTTCGAATTATCGGAATTTTCGAAGACGCGAGAGTTCAAGAAATCGGAATTCTACTGTACATTTCATTTCACAGCTGACTGGTTTTGGTATGCTTTACTAGCCTGCTACCAATACTTTCCTGAGTTCTGCATTATTGTGTGTATGTTTCAGGCCCAGAAATCAGGCCTGGTGTTATTCCGGGATCAAACATGACCTCGAACAGAAAGAGGCGGTTCAGTGAATTTGACGATTCCCATTCTCTTGGGCACGATTCAAGAGAAAAGAGGCGAAGAAGGGAGGAAGTTTTTTTCTCACGTGATCAAAGAACTCGTCGTGACAGCTACAGGTTTGATGGTCGCGGTACACGCGATCAAGGCACTCGCAGTGATAGAAGACGTCGTCGAGGTGCATGCGAGCAACGTGGTCGTTTAGCATATGATCGTCGGGAACGTGGTCGGGAAGAGGTTTCAAGAAAAAGAGTTGGAACGCGTCGTGACGAGGAAAGCGATAAGCTTAGCGAGGTCGAGCCGATAAGCTACAAAGCTTTGGAAGAGATTTGCAAATCTAAGCCTCTTGAAAATGGGATTGTCGATCTCTGGAACAAACGTGAAAGATTTCAAGCACTACTGGCTTCAAAGGAAGAAATAAGACTTGGTTTGATGCAGCTCATTATCCAAGCCATACACCTGTGTTGCTCCACAAAGGGAGTGCAACAGTTCTCGGAAGACTTGTTGCGTGTCGTGGTTAAGGAAAACTTTGTCCAGCTACATCTCAATAGTTTTGTAAGCCGCATGCTCTCGTTTTCGTCAACAGAATTTCAGCCATTTCATGTCATCTCACGACTGGCCGATGTTTTTCTGGAAATGATAAAGAGGTTCGGACTTGACATTGTTCATTCTATACCCAGCGCTCAACTCAAAGAAACTTTTGTAGAGCTCAATAACAGGAACCGTATAAACGAAGCAGGTGCTTTACAACGTAAAATTCACCAGGTAGAGGCCTTAAAGAGAGAGATAATTGGCCAACAATTTGTCCAGTTTGACCATGACCAACCTGAACGTGAGCCCCAGAGCAACTTTCGAGATATCAGCGTTGTTCCACAAGCTGAAGATCTGAGCGTGAGTAGTAAGCCGTTTCTTCGCGTCAACGTAGTTAACAGGAGTTACAAGGATCTTGAGCACTACCTTGATGTACATTTTCGACTTTTGCGAGAGGACTGTGTTTCACCGTTACGTGATGGGATAAGGAGTCTTCGAAAAGACTATGGTAGTGTTAAAGCAAGTAATAGTAGCGGAAATAAGACAGCAAAAGAAGTCCACGTTTACCGTGAAGTCGAAGTACTGTACCCAGAATGCAGTAGGAAGGGAATGGTTTACAGAATCCGATTTGACTCGCTGCACCACTCCTTAAGATACGTCAACTGGGAGAAGAGCAAACGTTTCAAGTTTGGCTCCCTTCTTTGTCTTTCCGAAGATGACTTCTACACTCTCCATTTCGCAACCGTTGAGAGTCGAGATGATATTTGCCGCGGCGAGCTTGAAGTGCGATTTGAGGGCGTTGAGCTTGAAGATTTAAACGGGTTTATTGAGGCAAAGGTGAAGTTTGATATGGTGGAATCTCCAACTTTCTTTGAAGCTTACCGTCACGTGTTAGAAGCTTTGAAGAAGATTGAGCCAGATGAAATGCCTTTTCAAGAGCACATAGTGAAGTGCAGTCCTAAAGTGCGACCACCTGTTTATGAACAAATAACGAATGGTTGCTATGACATGAGAAGCATTCTACGTTCTGATTGGGCTCCACCTGAGAATAATATTTGGTCTTGCGCAGACGATGACAGTGTAGCCTCCAATGACCCAAGCGAAGATTTTGATGACTACAGCATGCAGTCCGATGGTGAAAGTATGGCTTCGAACTACGAACTCAGCATTCACGACTTGCTTTACCACCGTGAAAGCCTCAAATTAAATTCTTCACAGCTGCGTGCATTTCAGACGGCTCTAACGAGCAGATTTGCCGTCATTCAAGGACCGCCAGGAACTGGAAAGACGTATGTTGGATTGAAGATAGCTCAAGTTCTTTTACAGACCACTGCGCTCTGGGAGAATGAGGAAGAACGGGCACCAATCTTGATGGTGTCTTACACGAATCATGCCTTGGACCAGTTCTTGGAAGGGCTGTTACCAATGACAGGTAAGAGTAACTTTACGTGTGCTATAAACGTTATATCACATGTAACGATTGACAAGACACCTGTTGATAACGAGATAACATGGTACCGGTGTAGTGTCAGTTTAGTTGAATTGAAGTTTAATTAGTTTAGTTTCAGTAGTTGTAAGGTTTACAGCTATTATCGATAGAAGAAAAGTTTGTGGCGATCTATTGTACTTTGGTGCTAAGAAACATGCCCTCCTAACAAAACTTCAAACTACACGTAAGTGTGTCTTATTTACCAGAACTGGCTAGGGGACTCTTCACTTCATATAAATTTCTCACTTTACATTATGGTGAACTAATTAGTTAGTCATTACCACAACTGATTACCAAGAATGTAACATATTGGTTAAAAGAGGTACACAGAATGTCACACTTAAGATTTAGATTTTTTTGTGGAGAACTCTGAGGCTAGTTATCCTCCCCTTTTCATTGTTTCCAAAACAGAGCCAACATATTTTTGCGTAATGTGGTTACAATACGTAACCAGAAGATTAAAATGTAACAAGAATAACACTCAAAATAGTAGTGACCAGCTCGCCCACGTTTTGCAGACCTTGTTTGTTATTAGTACATTTCAGAAAAATACTCTCAAAACCGTCAAAAGACATATTGTCCTCTATAACGTCCAGATATGGCAGTTGGTTCGCTTTAGACAGATCATCCGGCCTAGAGTCGATAACGAAATTAACTTCCTTTATATTGTACATTGGCCAAAGTCAAAGCTCTGGTTTTATTAACAGGTATTGTCCGTGTTGGTGGACGTTCAAAGAGCATGAAACTGGAGCCTTATTTCCTAAAATTTCTTCGTGAACAAGCTCGTGAAAGCAAAGAAACTCCCGGAAGAATACTCAGAGCGAGAAGAAAAGCCAACAGGAAAATGAGAGAGATCAACGAGAATGGAGGCCTAGAGCTATCCACGACCGTCCTAAAATTTTCACGAAAAGGAGTTTTATCGTACATTGTGTTGAAGCAATTTATGTCAGAGCGTCATGTTAAATGGTTTGAAAGTGACAAGAGAAAGAGTGCTGTTGATGTGTTCTGCGAGTGGCTTGGAGTGGAGAGACGTGTTTCACGACAAGAAGTTGAGGACAGTCGTGATGGTGGGTATGATAATGAAGATTTTGAAATGCAAGTATCACTTCGTTACTACACAGACGAATGTGATGTTGACGATGAAGAGAGCACGAACATAAACCCATCAGATGTGGTTATTTGTGAAGTAGAAGATGCTGAAACGCCCAGAGATCTACGCAGAAAACTTGAAGATGAGGCAACAATGTCTGAAGAAGAAGAAGAAATACAGGTGTCTTTCTTGCAAAGTTTGACTGAACAGCAGCGCTGGAAACTTTATAGGCTGTGGCTTAAGCGAGCTTTGAAACATCACCTGCAACAAGTACAGAGCAATCAACCAGAATACGAGAAAGCATGGCGTCGATTGAATGAGTTGACATGGGAAGAAGATTACAATATTCTTCAAAAATCACGCGTAATTGGCATGACAACCTCGTGCGCTGCTAGATACCGTCACATTCTTCAACGCCTCCATGTTTCCCCTAGAATCGTTTTGGTTGAAGAGGCTGCTGAAGTACTGGAGGCTCACATTATTACGTCACTGACCAAAAGTTGCCAGCATTTGATTCTGATAGGAGATCATCAGCAACTTAGGCCCAATCCCTCTGTCTATGAATTGGCCAAGAAATATAAGTTGGATGTGTCAATGTTCGAGAGAATGATAACCGTTGGAATTCCTTGCGAAAGACTTTCCTTGCAGCATCGAATGAGGCCCGAAATTGCTGCCTTGATGAAGCACATCTACCCAGATCTTGAGAATCACCAGTCTGTGGAAAAATATGAAGACATAAAAGGAATGAAGAAAAACATGTTCTTCGTTAACCACAGCTTCCTAGAGAAGTCCAGTACAGAGTCACTCAGTCACACGAATGAGCACGAGGCAAGATTTCTAGTTTCTCTGTGCCGCTATCTACTACAGCAAGGCTACAAAGCCGAGCAAATAACAATTCTTACCACTTATTCAGGACAAATGTTTGCTATAAGGGATTGCCTCAGAAATGAAAACGATCAAGTGATCAAAACGGTACGGCTGACAACTGTTGACAACTTTCAAGGTGAAGAAAACGACATTATCCTCCTTTCCCTTGTGCGCAGTAACAAGAGTGAGAAAGTTGGTTTCATCAAAATTGTCAACCGCGCATGCGTGGCTCTTTCCCGTGCCAAGATGGGGTTTTACTGCATTGGAAACTTTGAACTTCTCTCTAAATACAGTGAGTTCTGGAGTAAGATTGTGGCAGATCTGAAAGCGGGTGGCAGCATTGGAAATGCCTTGCCTCTTGCATGTCAAATTCATAGCACTGAGGTTTTGGTGAAGACGGCCAAAGATTTCAAGAATAAAGTTCCTAACGGAGGTTGTTTGCGTCCGTGTAAAGTGCGTTTACAATGCGGCCATGCGTGCAGAAAGTCCTGTCATCCCTATGATATCGACCATGTGCAATACCGCTGTGGAGAGCCTTGTCACAAAAACGTCAGTGGTTGTGCTCACGTGTGTCCTAATCTCTGTTGCGAAGAATGTGAAAGATATTGTAAAATTCCAGTTCAGAAAGGTCTACCATTATGTGGACACATGCAAACGATGGATTGTGGTAAGGACCCAACGCAGGTTGAGTGCAAAACGCCATGTGAGAAAACACTTCCATGCAATCATCGATGTCAAGAAAATTGTGGCAAACCCTGCACGAAACGGTGCAAAGAGTTGGTGAGGAGGAATGATTGGCAATGTGGACATGAAGTTACTGTTGCATGTTCCGCCACGCCTGCTGATTGCCCAGTCCCTTGTAGGGCTATTTTGAGCTGTAATCACCCATGTTCTGGAAAGTGTGGCGAATGTAGAATAGGTCGCGTACACAAACGATGCAAATTAAGGTGTGGTCGCGTGCTGGTTTGCTCTCACGTTTGTAGAGAGGCCTGCGTCATGCCATGCCCACCATGTAGCAGAAAATGTGAAAACTGTTGCATACACAGCGAATGCAAGAAACAATGTAGCGAACCCTGTAATCTCTGTCTAGAGAATTGTGCGTGGGAGTGTGATCATTACAAGTGTTCTAAGCTGTGTGGTGAGTTATGCGACCGGCCTAGGTGCAACCAGCCGTGCCAGAAGGTCTTACAGTGTGGAGGTCGCCGTCGCCAGCACGTTTGCCGTGGCTTGTGCAATGAGCCGTGTATATGTAGAGTCTGCGACGTAAATGATGGTCAGCACATTACCGAGATTTTCTTTGGCACAGAAAACGAGGAAGACACTCGGTTCATTAAATTGCCTGACTGCCAACATATTTTTCCAGTCGCTGATCTAGACAGGTAAATGAAAGTATGTGTAATGTTTTTGAACATCATTTTGTTGAAGCCTCCAGCTTACCTCCGGTAAGTGATAATTACCTCAACACAGTTGGGAGGGCCCACGTGGCACTTAGTTTTACAGTCCATAGACCAGACAGTTTGAGAGGTCGAGGTGTTCCTGACACCTTCTAGTTGGCTTGAATCTATTTTAATGATTCCGATAGTTACTTTGGAAGGTCTTGTTCCCCGAACTTAAGAAATTTTCCTTCATCTCTCTTCTCTTTCATTTCATAGGTACATGGACTCTTCCGATGATGATGGTGGTGGTGCAAATAATCACCTGATCAAAATGAAGACGTGTCCTCGTTGTAGTACTCCAATCCGCAAAAGCTTGCGATATGGCAATGTTATCAAACAGCGACTGGAAGACATCGCAAAAGTGAAAATTGCAGCCCATGGAAATCCACAAGAAATAAGCGGGACCCAGGGAAGACTACTGGCACGTTTAACCGAACTACGGAGATTTGATGTCAACGATGACCTTGCCAAGGATCTTGAGAGGCTAGAGCGCAGTGTTAACAGACTGGCGAAAGGAACAATGGCAGCTGTAACTGAAAACCAAGTGACTCTGATGGAGCGGTATTGTGCGATGAACGAGAGGATAAATAAACACCTCTGCGACTTACAGAAGAAAGTAGCCTCAAAGTGGCACAACAAGCAACACCTTCATCTGGAAGGTGGGTATTATTTCTTCAGTAGTTATGTCAATATACCCTCAGACTCGTATCACTGCTGGTAAGAAAACAGTCGGGTGATACACGTAATGCCCTTGGCATACCGTCTAAGGTAAACAGTGTACCATTAAATGGCAGGTTGTTTAGACGTTAGAAGTTTTAAGTCTACATCTTGCTGACGTTTTACCCATTGAAAAATATCGCAATGATTAGTGGAAGTCCTTGGCACATTATATTTCTGAAAAGTTTTTATGATGTTTCTATAAAGATAAGATAGTACACCACCACCACCACACCAAGGCTCTCCTGCAGAACCCACAAGCTGGCTAAATGGCTTACGCGTATGCCCTGTTCTATCTTTTTCTCTTATTCCTAATTTACTGCTTTTTTACCAAACGTTCTAGAGAATGCCTTCTTAACTCCATTTATTTTGGAATGTTTATCTCTAGCTTCCGCGTGTAAAAAGGAGTTGGATTTCTTAAGAAAACGCTTTACAGCTGCAGGCGTTACGGAGAGAGAACTTCGAGAGATCAACGTAGAACTCACGAGACAAAAGCTGCAATTTGAACTGCTCTTATTACAGTACGATGTCAGGAAATTTGGTCTTAATCTCAAAATTTGTTACAACGACGATATGGAAACTGTCAGAAGTGAGCTGTCTAGTGGACGATTAATACCCGATCGGAGACTTGACCAACTGCTTGCAAAGTTGAGTGTTATCAGGTATTTTTACCATGTTTCTATGCAGTCTTATGATCTTTTATCGTTAGGACAGTTTTTATTTTGTAGTCACTTTAGGATGACGCTGGTGACAGTGTAATGTCTTGATAAGGACTAGGGTGATCACGTATTTTTCCGATAGCCCAATTGTCTGCAGGGGTGTTCAGAAAAGAGAGCTCTATTTTGAAGGGCACCCAAGTATCCCAAAGGGTGTTTGGACGATGCTGATAACGTAAGTTTCCCTTGAGAACAAGAATATACGCTGAAAACGTTGTTGCAACTCTAAGGACTCCTTCGACTGGAAACTCTTAGTTTCAAAAAAAATTTAATTTATTTCTCAGTCGTCCTCGAACCTGATTTCGTGTATAAATTTGTCTGATAACATATGTCCTTGGGGAATCCGAATTTGAATTTTAAAAAGCCTCTTAGAAATCGAAGAAGGCCATTACAGAATAGACAATCAGATACCGTAAAGTTTCCAAGGTAACGACCTCCCGAAAGTAACGATAAAATTGTACAGGTGTTAGTAAATGCTAAAAGTAGCGACCGTCCGAAAGTAGCGACTTCAAAGTGATTTCTCTTCTTTATAGAAATGACGGAAATTATAGTTACAACAAACTTTACCAAACTGATCCCAGATTTATTTTTTAACGGTTACATCATCTTTGACATTTTTTTAATGTAACTCAAAAGGTACATTACATAATTTTTTTCAAAAGTCTTCCTTTCGTCTGTGAATACCCATGCCGTAATCAAACAATTCTTTTGAATGATTATTTAAAAAGCATTAACACGAAATAAGTTTTTCCAAATAAAAAGTGTGGATGTTTTCACAATTGTCGCGAAATTATTATCTCTTCTACGGTCCATGTACCCGAAAGTAGCGACCTCCTGAAAGTAGCGACCCTCCAAAAGTATCAATAGGAAAAGGCTGCTAAATGCGAAAAGTAACGAGCTAGAGTCGTTACTTTCGGAACTTCACGATATGTTACTGTAATTGACTATGTGTTTCTCTTTATTATCCCTTTCAGAGATAAGTACCGCTACCTATCTCCGATAACAGAAGAAGAAAAGAAAGAGATCGTGTCTGCCATGAATCTTTCTCAAGGCCGCTGGTACAAATGTCCACAGGGACATATCTACAATATTGGTGGGTGTGGTCGAGCTATGCAGCGAGGCTCGTGCCCTGAATGTGGGCTGGTGATTGGTGGATCGCGTTATCGTCTCTTTCTGGGAAACACACAAGCCTATCAGATGGACCGGGTGGGAAACAGGTTTGGCAGCCTGAGGAAAAATACGAAATGAACAGAACAGATTAAGAAAGGCGCAGTGATGGCAGAAGATTGTACATAATACCAACCTCGTGCCCAGGGCGCTTTTCCCTGGCTTAGGAGATGGAAAAGATTCCTGGAGACGAGGTTGATACAATACAAATTAAAAAATACATTGAGAGAAAACTCTTTTCTAGAATTAAATTATTAGTTCTGCAGGTTAGGGTGATTTTTTCGTATCGGAGAGATAGTTTATTCTAAAGAGTTATCCAGAAAAATGGCTTTTATTAAGGTAGAAATTAGATTTAACGCTTTCTGAAATTCGTTTTAAGTGAATAAGGTCATTTCACTTAATCAAATCTATCAGTTTCAGTGAGTTTATTATGGAAATTTCGCAACTAATCAGACAAAGGTTTCGTGTCTTAATTGCAGCAAATGTGATATGATGCCCTGAATACTAAACACTGTGGGAAGTTTTAGTTGTTATACCTCACCAGGAAAAACCCTCCTAGCCTTATCCAGGCTCTCAGATAGTGGGGAAGGGGCGCAGAAAGGGAGGCGGCGCGGGAAAAAAGGAAAAAGAAGGGAATTTCCTCCCGTTTTATTTTTCATGTTCGAGCTTCCTCAATTCCGCGGACCCGACTATCTCGGAGCCTGAAACAGGCTAACCACCCCCTTTTCCTTTAGGATTGCTCATAGCGCTAGATATTAATCTGGACGTTTGGCGTCTCCTTGTATATCCACCACCATTCACCTCTTTTTCGGTGGTTGATAGTCGTGTAGTATCAATGATGATTTACAAAACATTACTATTATAAAAGTGGAAGCTGAGTGTAATATAACAAACCTCTATATAACGACTTCCTCGCTATAACAAGCGATTTTCTTTACCCCAGAAATGGTAAAATGTGTGAAAAGAACCTCAATACAACGAACAAATTTTGCCAGACCCTTGGACCTTCGTTAAACCGAGGTTCCACTGTACCAGCTTTCATCACGTTTCATGAAGGAGTGTGGACGGGTAAAGTTGAGCTCTAAAGTTGGAAAACAGAATACTGAGTTTTTCAAACAAGATCAGGAACTACAAGTCACCTTTAACATGTAATATTATTTACGTACCTAAAAATGATTTTTTTACTTTTATTTTTTCCGAAAATAAGGATAGGAGTCGCAAGTTAACTGAAAATAATAAAAAACACATGAAGTAAAAGGACGAGAGTCAGCCATGATGTGCTACGAGTGTACAAAAGGACTGGCCTGATTATCAGAAAACACAACACAACACTACTCAGTATGTGTTGGTCTAGATGTAAGTTTGAAAACATGTCACCAAATGAATTAAGCCCACGTATCAGGCGCTTGGAAGTTTTTCGGATGAAAGGAAGAACGGGCGCGCGAGAGGGAAAAGCGGGTTTCACTCGCGCGCAACTTTCTTTTTTGCCCCCACTACTTCCTAGCGCCTGCTACGCAGACTACAAATGATTTTTAAGTTTTTACAGCTAAAAGGGCTTCAATAAAGGATTTTACAAGGTGTTATTGAGTTTCCCTTCCAAACCTTTCTCAAACTATGTAAATTCCCCTTAAAAACAAAGGAAAACACAAAAACAACAACAACAAAAACAAACAAACAACCATAAAAACAAAAACACGAGTTATTTTATGATGTCCATGTAGACTGTTTACAGTCCCCCTATTTTTTTTTTCGTAAAATTTTTGGAATCAAGGGCCTACCGTTACCGTTGACTGGGGATGAGGATCAAATCTACTTAGTGGGCATGACTCTGTTTGACCTTTTTTCTTCTCTCTAACCCCACCGCTAGAATCCACGACGGCCGCCCCTCTGTGCATTTGAAACCAAGTTGGCCGTCAGTAACTTCGATGATATTACGATAAAATACAAGAATCTAAACAGTCTAGAAAAAATTTTGACTTCCGTTCACCGGTTCTGTTCAGCTCTGTGTGAAATATTCAGTCCCATTAACTTTGACTCCTGCTGAAAGAGAGGGCTGAGAGGCCTGAAACTCACAAGAAAGAGAGCGCATTTCTATGCCCCTACCAAACAGAAAGGAAGCGCTTCAATGAAGGCAGGAGTTTTCTCAGCTCTTCCATAGGAGCAGGACTTAGTATAGAGTTAGGTTTCTAAGATGTGGCTTCTATTCAGAAAGGAGAAGAGACATAATATGGAATATAGCTCCAGTTTTACATCCACTTTATCACCTACTTTATCATTTTCGTGTTTTCTTACTCAGTTTCCTTTAAAATAATTCTAGGATGGCTTTCCCATGAAAACTTGAAGATAATCACGTCTTCTCCGGAATATTGGGGACATTTGCTCAAAGCGTCCAGTTGGTTCGAATATTCAAAAACGCCAATGGTCATTTCGACATTTGAACTGCAAAGGACCAGAAACTAATATGCCGCAGAACGTAGGATATACAGAAGACCTGATACGCAAAAACATACACTGAGTAGACCCATTGAATTCTGCGAAGCTGATCGTACATTTCTGCTATTTTCACTGTTATCAATTATCAATTATTACAGTTATCAATTACTGGCCATGAACAGCGAGAAAAGAAAAATCTTTCCGTTTTTACTTCGAAAACTAACCGGCTGTAATTTGAAACAAATGTATTGGCAATAACCAAGACAGAATTATTCTTTCTTGCAACAACCCAGAGGGAAGCGCTGCCCATGAATTTTTAACGTTTTTAGCGGGGAAAATCGAGGCTTCTATCCAAGGGGAAATATTTTCGAGGCTTATTTTAACAAATATTTTGAGCGAAGTAGGGCTTGCCAGAGTGTAAATTTGTCTCCACTTACGTGACTAAGTTGATCGTTCTGGCCAAAAATGGAGCCATTACCAATTCGGGCTACCTTTCACAACGGCTGAGAAACAAGGAATTGCGTGCCTACATTCACGTTCAGGAGTCTGGGTATGAGGTCGTGATGTCAGTTTGTCAACATGGCGATGACCTGATGTCCCAAGCGAGGACGGTGATTTCTCCTCGAAGGTGTGGAAAATGTCCTAAAAATCTTGAACTTGGAATTAATATCGTAAGATGATAGGATGTATTAACCAGTATGGCATCCAGGTGAGAGAAAACTAACACAACTTCGCTTTGGAAATTGTTTGCAAGTCGAAGTGATCAGCTTAGTCGATTGTTCATTTCGTGTAGCTTCGAGAGGGATTGTTTAGCGAATGTTACCGTTGTCATGACTTTAATTTTTCGTTCCTTTCTAGCATGGGAAATGACCCAAAGATGGAGAAAACACCCGAAGAAAAAGGTACTTTCTATCAGGAATAAGACAACTCTTTTTTGCAATGATTGACAAGTGTTTCTTCAAGACATCCCCCGCTTTCCTCAGTTTTCCGCTACACTGGGCCTAAAGGCTTAAATGAAATTCTTGAACCTTGACGTTTCTCACTCGATCTAGTGACTATTTTCACTCCTCTGTATTAATTCCGTTCTCGAGACTGCATTAATACTTTGCTTTGCGGTATATTTTAATCGATATATATGAGGTACAACCTCGTTTGATAAGTTGAGTGCGTAACGAAACTTCTAAAAATAAGTAAGCTTTATACAGTAGACGTTGTCTCTGTAAGCGTATTAAACAATCTCGTTCACGTTTGCGTTTCGTTTTTTTCAAACAACCAACAAAAGTATAGCCATCACGAGGATATAAGAAACAAAATAATAATAATTCAAAATAAACAAAATAGACAAGAAAGTGGTTAATGAATTACTAAATTAAATTAATGAATCAATTCATGCAAAAACTGTCCAGTCCAGCCTTGAAGCCTTTGAGATTTGGCTGGGTATTGACTTCGGGAGGTAGGCTGTTCCACAAGTTTATTGCGGCAGGAAGGAGACTCCCCTTGTACACGTTAGTGCCATGCAATTTTTGGAAAAGCATTATGCTACCTTTCGGGTAAAATAATCAGAGGACATACTACGCTAATGTAAAAGAAAACTTCATTACCTATGGTAATGTTGTTTTGTGACTTTGACATTGTCCTAACTCAGAGTTTAGTTTACTCAAGTGAGATTATTATTCTTCTTTACTGTAAGATGATTGACGATAAAAAAATTCTCCAGACATAATGGTCCCAACACGTGGGATTTCATTGGATACTAGCAAATTTTGGTTGGCTAATGTCCGATGACCCAGTGTTATTTGCAGCCCTGACAGCAACAGCCTTGCTCTTTCTTGTCTTATCTTTAAAAGCACCCTGTAAACTAGTCACTGTCCTCAGTTTCTCTATCTCAGCCATTCATGCAGAAGTGGGTGGCCTTGCGCTGTACAGCCTCTATACTCTTATTTTCTGGTACTGATGATGTGGTAACCATACAGAACTGGTGTATTCCACATCTGGACGGACCAGAGTGCTGTATGAGAGTGCTGTATGCTTGGACTTTCACTCACTCTGGATACTGCCTTACATTTCTCTTGACAAAGCCTAGTGATCTAATTTTCGATAATTTGTAGCAAGAGTTAAGCCTATAGGCACTTTGAAAAAATACTAGAAAAATCGTAGAGAGAATTAACAGAAAATGCTGTGCCCAAGCATTGAGACATAAAAGAGTTTCAAATTACCGGTACACAAACATGTAAGTCGTTAGCTACAATAGACAGTTTCAACTGTTAGGAAAGAAAAGCTTCTCTTCCTAGCCCCTACAGGGACATAGCTAGGATTTTTTTTATTGGGTCGTGGCAGAGTCTCATGATGTCACAAAACCAGAGTACTTATTAGATTTTCATGTCAAAATCTGTGCTGTTCTATCTTAAAAGTGACAATTTTTTGATGTACATTGAGTGTGGGAAGAGACACAAGCCTGCAAAATAGCTTCATAGAGTCATATGCCAAGAAGAATTGAATGTGTTGACTATTTTAATCAAATTTTAGCCCATACAAGAAGCACCTGGCAAATGAAATTTCTTGAATCAAAGACATTTTCAACAAAGTTCCTTTCACATTAATGAAGGTTCTAACAAAACACTTTGGATAAGAGAAGGCCAAAATAATGTCATTTAAAAGCAGAAAATTTTAATATTTTAGTGTGGACTTTATTTCATCAAATTTCTTGTGTTTTTGCACAGCTGTAAAGCTGCGAATTATTCTGTTCTCTCCACATTAATTATAATAGATATAATCTGCTTCTGTTATTTTCCTCCAAGAGGAATTCAGAGCAGAGATGGATTAGAAGCATTATTTTGATCCAATCACAATAAATTATGATCATTCTCGATTTTAGGATTGTCAAGCCAAGTTTCCTTTTCTGTCAAATGATATTACTGGAGGTAATTTTATCTCAATCAATATTGTTACAGGGTCTGATCCTGAGGAACTCAGTGGGCAGGAATTGTCGGAGCAACACCAGCATGAAGACAAACAGTGAGTTAAAATGTTATACATATTCTTGTTTTATAAGGTGGAAGAGGGAACAAGTTAGCCATTTTTGCCATCGGCCCTCTGTTTCGTAATGATTTTGCATGGTTCTTTTTAGAAATTTCTATCTCTTACAGCCCTATCCTTTCCCTCCATCCTTTGGATAGCTATGGCAATTGTTTTAGGCTAAACTGGATTTTTTGAGATGCACAATTAGGAATTTAAAGGTCAAAGGGATGTACTACAGTACTGTTAGTGCAGTTATATAAGGAGTAAGTTTCTTGGATCACTGATAGGGTTACAGTACCGATATTTCGCGGAAAAAAAAAAAAGTGCAGATTTACAGGGGTAATCGCGGAACTTGGATCGCGGAAAAAACTGATTTTAGGGTTCTTAGAAAAAGGATTTTTTCTTGTCTTGTGCATTATTAATATTTCAGAGGAAGTTTATTTAACGTTTTGAAAAGCTCTTTCAACAGTGTGTGCCCGAGAACAGGTATTGAAAAGCTTTTAAACATTAAAGTCATTTTTTTATTCTTAGTTTTGGCCCAATAGCATAAATTTGCCCTTGTTGAATAAAACAGGTCTAATAGCTAAGATAAGTATTAAATAATCATGCCTATTCTGCAATGAGTGACATTAGGGGAACATATAACTGTACTACTGAGGTTTTCTTAGGGAGCATTATTAATTTCAAACAGTTTATTTTTTAGTTAAAATATTGAAAGTGATTGTCTTTTTCTTATATTGAATTTTATCCTTAACATTTTCCTAGCCAAAATTTTGAAAAGTGGCATTAGGGGGACTTACAGCTGTACTACTAAGGCCCCCTTAAGGAGGTTATGGACATTTTTATTCAATGAATATTTTCATTGATTGTTATTCTTAAAATTTTTCTAGTATTTTAAAGGGTACAATATGTATAATATGTCACCGGGGCTAGAGATTTTTCTTATTTTTCTTCCTTTTTCTTATCCATGTGAAGTGCATTGAGGCTGGAAATGCACCCAATAAAAACAAATAGTTATACCTTATTATTATTTTGTATTATTATTATGTACATCTATATCCGTGGTTTGAATTTCAAAACGTACTGTTTTGGGTATTGATGAGGAAGCAGGCTTTTAGCCAGACATTGAAAACTGGCCATCCAGAAGGCAATGCTTTCCCATAAAATTTTAAGAGGTTAAGTGAACTTTCCTTGTATTTCTTCCAAAAATGGGCATTTATAGGACGTCTGGACACCCTTTTGGCTAAAACCTTGCGAGGAAGCCATGTCGCTTTTGGTATTTTACCACTGTATTTCTGCTTTTCTCTTTTGCGGTTACAGTTTCAACCATCTTTGTGTCGTTTGTTGACATTTCTGTTTTGCAATGTGGCTGTTTCAAGGCCATGTTGCCTGTTGAAATTTACCCTAACAGGGCCTCAGAGGAGGAACAAAGTTTGAAAGAAAGAGTCCCTGTGCATTGTTTTTTCTCTTACTGAAAAGGGTCCACAAGCGTTTCCACCCACAAAATGTAGCTACAATCATCGTCAAAAGTGTTGGGAAGGTTGCTTTTTTAACCTCTTTTTTCCCCCACCCCTAGCCCAATGTTGAGCAAAATGCTAATGTTTGTGCATGTAAAAATTGTTCTGTTTCATTGAATAGGGGGAAGGGGGATATTTAGCAACAGAGGAAACTCTCTTTTTTGAGGATCAAAATGGACTACACTTGCTACATGTAAGATCCCTTCCCAGTCATTTTGTTTGTAAAGGCTTTCAACTCAAGACTGAAATTTTCTTGTTTATGTTGATAGACTAGATGCATCATGCCAAGTTCCAGCTCTCTCCAAGTCAAGAGTGTTCTTCCTGAACATATCTTGGTTTGGGATGAATGTCATGTACCTCATTCTATCTGTTGAAGGTGACACCTATAATGACAGCATTTTATGACTTATAATTGCACGTACAGCTGCGGTATTGGTATTGTACACTGTTTGTGTTATTGAGCAAGTACAAGGTCAACATGACTGGATATTGGCGACTGGTTATTCTTGCCATTTAATGGATCAAGGAAGAGTCAACAAACAACAACAACATAAAAAACAAAAATATGGCCATTGCTTATCTATCTTACTGAACAAGCTCGGCCAATAAGGGATTTATTTTGTACATAGCAAGAAAATTATTTTTTATTGTTGAATCAAAGTGGGGAATCCCAAGCAGCCAAGACAGGCCCATCTAATTCTTTCAGGTGGCTAATCAGAACTCAGGATTTGCTTCATTTTCCCAGTCAATGTAACCTGCCACAAGATCAATGACAGGTCACTTCTACTCGTGAAGTTAAGTTAGTCACTAAAGAGGGTACATGTATGCAGCCTTAAAATAGTTTGGGCACTGAAGCTGCACCTTATAATTGATCAACCACAGAGAAAGATGCTTTTGTTTCGTGTTAATTGTACATCTATTTTGTTTTCATTGTTAATTCTCAGTTGTGCCATCTCAAGTGTATGCGCTTGTGGGTTCTGAAAAGAAAGGTCAAGTGTTGGGTGGTATGGTGGCAGCAGGGGCTGGTAAGTTCTTACTAATATTAATTTTTCAGTTTATGTCCATGTAACAATGTAAACTTTCAGTCGAAATGTCAGATAATTAAATTTTTATTGGACAGCACAATCTTTGCTGAACATACAATTATAACAAGATGAACTTTACATTCAGTAGATTGAATCCCAGATGTGTTTATACCCCTTATTTCACTAACCTTCTAAAATTGTGAAGATATCTCAGGGTCATATACATGTACTACATGTACTTATTGATAACCTTTAAAAACCCAATTTTTAAGGCCTTGATGGCATGCCCGTTAATCACTCAACTATTTTTTTTGTTCCTTGAAAGTCCTTGAAGTTTTATGAGCTTCGTGTTATAAATACTTTTACAGTGTATAATTTATTGAAAACTTAGTTATGGAACTTCTTTATTCTCGTTACTTTAGTTGCTTTTACGTTTATTATTGTTTTACACAATGCATGTTGTGAAAGATAGTATTGGGTTTAATTGGCAAAGTAATGTACAGCGTTGCACATTGTTCTTCATCATAAAATTTTATGTTAAGTAACTTTGGATTCTGATGACTTGTATTTTTTCCTTCAGTTGTCACGTTTTTCTTAAGTCCTCTAGTTGGGATGAAAAGGTAAATACAATTGTAAATTGCTAAATGAGGAATTTCATGACAAATGTTTTGAAAATTTCTGTCTTCTAAAATAATGTTTTTGATATTGTTTTAGTTTCTATGTTTTTTTTTTAGGCAGAGCCATGTTGGGGGTAAATCTAGGCTCTAAAAAGTTTTCTCTGATTGTCTGAGACAAAAAGATTTTCTTTTGGACAAGTAATTTTTTTAACCTAACTTCTGTAATGGGCCAGGCAAGTCATTGCTAAGGTAACCGAGCAGTTATAGCTCTAGCAAGCTTGTCTAAGGAAAAGCTGGAGTTTTTAATTTCCAGTTTTTAATTTTCATGCTTGAAAAAAGCTTTAAAGCATTTTTCAAGCCCTGTATAGCCTGTATAAGGATGGCCTCTGTCTTGAAATGTGTTGTATGTCTCTGTGTCAAATTCTTGCAAAGGTTACTAATGTCTTGTACAAAATCATGGGAATAAAAGAGACTCGAAAAATTAACTATTCTTAATGTATTCATTTTTGTTAACAGATGTGTGTAACCTCATTAATTTTACCAACAACAACATCTCTTAGACAGTGAGAGCTAGTAGAAATGTGTTTGAAACCTTTGTTTAACAGTCAACTGTCAGTAGTCATGGGAAGTTGAGTGTCAATTTGTTTTTGTTTTTGATAATGAAGCTTTTGCCAGACCTGTCAGTTGTTTATGGGTATTTTACTGGCTCCTTTGTGGCTGTTTGAAAGGAATGACACAATTTACTTGCACAGTATACCCTGTCCCAACTGACCCAAAACAGGCCCTAAATACATGTACTGTCTTACATTAACTGAACATTAGTTTTCTTTGCTTCTAGTGACCGTCTTGTTTCTCAATTTGGAAAGCGAAGACCTCTCATGCTTGGTGGTACTGTGCTACTTTGGTGAGTTGTGTGGTCACTCCTAGACTTCTTATTTTCTCTTTCGACGGAACATAAGCCTTTAAGGTTATTTTAAACTGACGGCAAATATATTGTTTAATAATGTATGTAAAATCCATCAAGAGTGGTTTTGTACTAAGTGTTGTTTTTAGATAAGATGCATCTTATTTAGGATGAAATGTGCTGTTGATATGGAATTTTGCATCTAATATAAGATGGAGATAAGCTATGTCGTTTTTCCTCATATAAATTGCCTTGTTGTTTCATCCAGTTCAATTGTCAAGTTATTTTTGTTGACTCGTTAGGGGCTGGAGAAGGGAAACTGAAGACATTATTCATAATCGTGAATATCATTACGGATAGGAGAGAAATTTAGAACCATGTAGCTTGAAACCATTTTAACCTTGTTAGTTTTATTTTAAACTAATACAATGGGGCCTGGTCTGTTTTATCTTTGCAGTATATCTCTGTTTGGCATGGCATTCAGTGCCCCAGATATTGAAAGGTAGGAATGGCTCCGTACAGTTTTTCTTTTTAGAGTACTCTTGATCAATCAGCTCTTTAATATGGTTCCTGGTCATTGAGTTAGCCGGTCAATTACTTATTTATGATAATTATTATAGCTGGTAAATCAGCAGGCCTCAGTCATGGTCAGTCCTGTTCTCAAACAGTGAGTTAAGTAATCCTTCTTCACATCTCGGACTTTGTCCTACACTAATTACACAATTTTTGTGACATGAAAATTGTACCCCATCTTAATCAATCAGTAAAAACCAATTATCTGGTCTATCGGTCTGTCAATCAATTATTTATCTCAACTAGTCAGTCAGTCAGGGCTTAATTTTTAGCGGTGGTAATTTTAGTCCAAAAAGGCAGTGGTCTATCCAGAACATGATCTTGTTAGTCCTGGAGGTGACAAAAATGCTATAAAAATAAAATACAGTGTATTTTTATTGTGGTTCCAGATGCAAAAATATGAATTAAAGCAAAACAAAATTTAAAAACCCAGTCTTGACTTTTACTTTTCGCTTTCTCTCCTCCCTTCTTTTTCGCTTTTCTTGAAAACATTTTTGGGAAGGAGAACATGATCTTAGGATTAGGTATTAGGTACTGGGTAATGGAACATACAAGTACCAGCTTCTTTCTCCGGTGTCCTTGACTGAATTGTGCTCATTCAGTATGAATGCTGCAAAAATAAAATACCAATAATCAATATTTATTTCAACTTTTACTAACTGCTTGCTCTTTTCATTTTGATTGCAGTGACATATCAAATGTAACAGTAAGTTCATTATGATTTACTTAATTGTTTAGATTCTTTTTATCCCACTACCATCGAAACCCTTACTGTCAGTTACTTGCTGTTGATTTGTTGGTTCAGAAGTGTTTTTTCTCATTTGAAGCTACAGTAAAGAGATTTTATAGATTTTTTTTCTGATTGTGATGTCTTTCTTCCATCAGTGTTCCATAGATTTAAGGCTGCGGCGATGTATTCCTTATTTTAACCTGTCAGTGTTAGAGAAGCAAGAAGATAACATGACAAGTGAATCTGATGAAAGCTTCCTACTTAGTATACTCATGCAGAAAGAAGATTCACGAGGAAATATAGGTTTGTGTTGACTACATTTCCTTGCTCTATGCAATTTACTGGCAGTTTAATACACAGAGGCACTAACTTATGATCATAAGTCAAGAGCAGAACTTGCAGTGTACATCAAACTAATACTAAAAGACTGAAAGTAACTTTAGGTATCTCAGAGGCACCCAATAACCTTTTTTTTGTTTTAAAATACATGTTATAGGTGTAACTGTTCAAAGGAGCAAATGGTACCACTTAAAAGTCTGCTTGGAGAGGTTCAACTGGAATGAATTTTGTTTGCACCACAAAATTTCTTTCTCAAACTCCAAATCAATTAATAATATTTTTTAAGAGTACATTGATTGACCAGTAATTAACTCTGAAAGTGAAGAAGTTACATTCTTTATTGGAGGTTTGATTTATTTTAAATCCGTATTGTTAAGGGTAAGATTCCTGTGAGTTATACATATGTAGAGGCTGTGGAAATGTTTGGTGGTTAGTGAGAAGACAGGTATTCATGGTGGCAACAAGGGATAATCAGGAGTACTAAGCATCAATTTAATCTGGAAATCTTAGTGTTGTGTATGGGTTTTTTATGAGTAGCGAAGTCTCGTGTGTTTCTTTCCACTTTGGATTTGGAGACGTTTTGGTTCAAGTGTTTTTCCCAGTTTCTGAACAAGGTCTTGGTGAGGGTTACAACTTGGTGTTACGGAGCACAAGTTTATGGTAATTAGTATATGCATATATCATGGTTTACAGATATTAAAATACTAGCATATACTAGTAATAACCTTGGTGAGCATCTCAGTGAGTCTTAGCCTCTAACAGTGAGGCTATGATGATAGTGTGACTATAAGTCGCTTATCAGTTACTGTTGTTGTGTATGTTGTAATTTGAATAGAAGTCAATTTCCTTTTCCATAGGTCTGTACATAGCTTTTTATCTGTGTGTTATGGCATGTTATTCCATTATGAGCGTACCATATAATGGATTAATAGCTGATTTGACACCTTCATTTCAAAGAGGTAAGTTGTACACATACCCTGTGGCAATGACTTAGAACTGTTTGGTCATTTTTAATCTGTTATTTAGTAGGGGTTGCTATCAACTCTCAGAAAAAAATTTATAGAAACTTGATACAAATTAATAATGTTACTTATAACTAGATAAAGAATAAATTCGAATTTAAATAAAATTAAATGCTTTTAAACTAATAGATACATGTATGTTCTCTGATACTGTAGTTGTTTAATATGGAAAAATGTTTAACTGTACTTACATGTATGAATAAATGATGTCAAAAGTTACTGAAATTTAGTAAATCACCGCTATTGTTATTCATCCAAAAATTTAATGTGAGTATTACAGTGTTCTTGACCTGACTACTGGAGTTTGCACATTGTGCAAAACCCTGCTAGTATAAAAGAGAGAAAAATACTGCATAAATAATAATGATGAAAGAAAAATACAATGTTGCTATAATAATATATGAAAGTGATTTTTCAACAAAGTTGACAAGCAACAACTTACGCAACGGAGTTTAAAGTGAAGTTAGTTTTAGGAAACATTTACTAAAACCAACTTTGAAGAGAATATAATTAAAAACACCAATACTCTGACCCGTACTTGACTTTTGAGTTACTTTTGTAGTGGTAATACCTTTTAAATGTAAATTAAAAACAATTCTTATAAATTGAACTTAAAACAATAATCACAGGCTTTAGTTCCGGTGTTATGGGGGCCATGACATTAGTTGGAAATGTTACTGGAGCACTCATTGGGTTTTTCTTTCCGGTGAGTATTTACTTCGCACAACTAATCAATCTATCACAAAACAACAAGATTGAATGTGAATTGTTATATAATTCCTTCTGAAAGATGGATTAATATTTGCATATAATAATGTAGCTATAAAGAAGACAAAGTGTTAATCCCAAACTTTAAAATAGTTTATTATATTTTCTCACAATTGGAAGACTGTGAAAAGTTTAAACTATTTCTAATTAAATTATAACTGAAATGAAACGTTTTTAACACAGAGAAGTGAATTACTTTCATTGTTGAGAGTGTCCATACTGCATGAAGTTTGAACGTCAGCGGATTTTAGACTAAAACGTTTGAGATCTAATTGATGAATCTTTTCCAACTCAGGAGGAACCGTAAAATTTCGACATCATTCTGAGATCTATAAGTAAGAGTGTAGACAATGCGATAATCATTTCAAAATAACGCTGAAGTTTCTGAATGCCCAATTCAGGTGAAGATTCTTGGCAATTTGCTCATGTGTGAAAATAAATACACATTAAGGTGAAATATTGAAGTTGATCCATTTTCTTTTATTAAAAATGCTATTAAAGAAGTAATTTCTCAAGCTTTCCCACACATATTGAAAGAGATTGATTATCCCTTTAAGTCCCAATAGTGATCAACATCAATTTTCTCCTAAGGATATCCATAGATTGGCAAGAGAAAAGGTTATGAGAGTTAATAAAATGATCACCAAAAAGAGAATACCTTGATCTTTTATCAAATTCTCTCAACTAATTCTGAAAGGAAATGTATATAGACCAGTTTGGAGAATTTGTATGTGGATATTAGGGCTTAAAGGGTTAAGTGTGGGTTTGCACCCAACTGGGCACAGAGTGCAGTGGTACCTTGCAACTTTGTCTCTGGGTTTTTTTTCCCTTATAAAATTGGATGCTCCCAGTTTGTAAGGGAATGCCCTGGGAATGAGTGAAACATGAAACTATTTACACCTCGACTGAGTCAACTTGTATTGAAACGACTTTGTATCGAAATGACCAGTAACCCATACTTTAGACTAGTTTCCATGCAGTAATGGAATAAAACAAAAGAATTCTCCTGAAATTCAGGGATAATAAATTCATTTAATTTGTTTCACCAGTATTCATTCATGACTTGGAGCCAAGTATGAATTTTGGTCTATAAGGACATGACTTACCCGACGTCTTTCTCTTTCACCCTGTTTTAGAAAATTGGAATTGTGGGTACATACTCACTGGTAGCTGTACTATACTTTATATGTGTGTTCCTCACAGTGGTATCATGTCCTGAGCCCCCTGTAAACGTGACCCATAAGCCCATTGGTGAGTAACGGAGTGATATTGTACAGTGCACAACAATATATCAAATCTGTGTGAATTAAATGCGTAGGCTTTGTTTCACTTGACGTGAAATTAAATGTCAATTGGAATCACTTCTGTTATTACACATTGGTAATTCTGCTATAGACAGGAATCCTTAATAGTCGATATGAGGTACATTAAGTAACCAATTTCTTCACTTTGTTCTTTAAAGATGATAAACACACCATGCTTTCTCTTAGGAGGAGAGGGTTCTATCTGGCCTGCTAGTAATTTTTCTCTTGGAAAAGGACAAATGACTGATTAGGTCACCATCAGGAGCATATATATGCTTCTGGTCACCATTTAACTGAGACAAACCAGAAGAGTTGTCGGACATACATTATGTTGACTTTTTTTCAATACTTTTAAAATCTTCAGCTACAAAGTGATGTGATTGTCTTAAGTATCTGATCTGTCCGGGTTACTTGTATTTGTAGTTCTGACTTTAACTGAATTTACTGTTTTTTTTTTTACACTAATTTCTTGTATATGTGCATAGATGTGCTGATTTGTTTTTTCACTTTTACTTCCTAATACAGAAGTGTACAAAAAAAATGTAAATGTTTTTTTTGCACAGGTTTGAAGACTGTATTTTTAGCTTACTGGGAGCCACTGAAAGGTGAGTGAAAACAAAATATAAGGTGACCAGTTTGCAATCATGTGTATGTGTGATATATTATAATATGCTCTTTTTTTTGTTGTTTTTGAACAGAGAGAGATTTTAGATGGGTGTTTCTCACCAGATTTCTCATGCAGCAAGGTGTTGCTACAGTAACTGGGTAAGCCTGCCTGCTAGATCTGCCTTGTCCCCAGTCGCTCTTGATCGCTTATGTTGAAGAGAAGGGAGAGACGGGAAGGGAAAAATTTTTCTTCCCATCATTTCCCGCACGCGCTCCGCGCTCGCCCCACGCATTGAAGTCCACACGTGCCGCTTCGCCTTCTAAAGGCCTGGGGAGGAAGCAGTTGGTGGATTGACAATTCACGACTTGGGTCATTTTCATGAGACTAATGTAGTCTGCTGTCATCCATCCGTTTTCAAAATTATAAACGCCTTTATCAAGTTTTGATTAGCAATCAAGTCTATGTAAAAAGTCTAGTTTGCCCCATGGAACTATATTGCATTTCCTTGGTGACTTTAACCTTGGTGACTGTTATTTAACCAGAGTGCACCGATGTTAACAGCATTCAGTGTACTTTTGGATGACTTTCTGTGTGGTGATTTTCAAATTTTAATCTTCAATCAGCAAATGGGTTGCGGATTTTGACACACTTTTTCATCACTATTTTGGCGAATTTTTCTGGGAGTGCCTCGTCTGAGATCCGCCTTAATTTTGTGTGCTTTTGTTTGTTTATGAACTCAACAGGTTTTTAGAGTTTTGGTTAGGAGATATGGTGAATTTACCAAACTGCTGGTCACCTGAGCGAAGTGTTGCAATGCTTTTGCTCCCGATGCTGTTTTCTGCAGCTTTATTGTAAGTCCGGGGCACTTAACAGAACTTGGGGACAAGGAAAACGTACTACTCGTTCACTTACGAGTTTATTGAAATTTTAAAAACTTGAACGTTGATAACATAATTAACAATTATTCCTCGAGCCCAAATGGGCTCATGAGGGCGAGAGGAATAATTGTTTTGGTAAAATCCAACTAGTAGGTCAAAAATATCGAGACAAAACAACTTTAGCGAGCAAAACGCAATTCCTCCGCCATTGTTTTGGTTTCCAAAGCCGGCGCTTTTCGCTACTAGTGGGCTATAACATATAGCCTAGTAGTAGCGCAATCAATCAGACCGCCGCATTGATAATAGACCACTAGCTGGATTTTACTGAAAAGTAATATGCAGATGAGGGCGAACAACACCCTCTTAGAAAAAATTTGAAAGCAAGAACTTATCGTGGCAGAAATGGCATTCATGAAAATTTGAGCATAAAAAATTGGAGATAAAGGTATACCAGAAAAGTTGTTACAAAGAATTACGGCTCTTCAGCATTTTTGCCCCCTAGCAATTCTCCAGCTTTTGGTGGCTGATATGTATTTCGTTTAATATTGCCGGTAAAGAGTTGAAGTTTCATCGATTTGTCAGTCAACCAATCATTTCAACTCTAGTTTTTGCCACGACGCCTGCTATGTAAATTTAGCAAAAGCGTTTTTGAGTGACGCAAGTCATCGGAGAGCGAGGCCTTTTTCTTTTTAATATACCGTGACGCTACAAGTTATACTGGTGCTACAAGTTATACTAGTGCTAAGTGTCTTTTTCCTTGTAGAGACAATTTGCCCGAAATTTGGGCAAAATTACTGCCAAGAATGCGAAACGCCCACTTCCGTTTGACGTGCGTTGCTCAAAAGCGTCTTTACTTACGCTTCCTAATATTTTAACAAAACCTTAACCATACCGATTTCACTCATATAACCCAGCTATTGTATGTCTTCGCGGATAGTAATCGCGCACAATACTTTTTAGTTCTGTTATAGGAGGGTTTCTCTCCGACAGACTGGGAAGAAGAAAACCTCTTGTGATAGGATCAGGTACATTTGCTTTTTTTGTTCGCGTTGTAAGCTTGTTTTTTGAAGAGTTACAAATTTGTCAACTTGTAAAAATCCTATCTGCGGTTCTCTTTTTCAGCAATATTAATGAGTGTCTGTGCTGTCATATTGGCTGGATTACAGGGGAAGTATGCTTTTTATGCAGCAATGCCAGTGGCCTTGACTTTTGGTAAGAAGTTTAAAAACTTTATACTTTTATATTCCGTTGATGTCCGCGTCTATGCAAATCATAAGGTTTTTTCTCTTAGAGCAGCTTTTTCACCTACACCTGTACTGACAAGCTTGGTTTGCATCTGCTGAAAAAATTACACGATTACGGTTCAATCAAAATTCCCTATGAGACCACATCTGAAGACAGCAACGACAGCAACAAAACAAAAGATAAAAAGAGCTCAAGTCCTCATGGGCCAAAATGTCGTGCTGATTGTCAACACCCCCACCCCTCGCACAAATCTTGATGTTGCTGCAGAGTTGCTTTAGTTATTGGGTGTATTTGACAGTGTATGTGAATTCCCTTGTGCTTTCAGGGGTGGGCTTTGGAGCCTACTGTGCTGTAGATTTTGCGCTTGTAATGGATGTACTTCCTAATGACAGAGAAAAAGCCAAAGATTTGGCAGTCTGGCATCAGGTGAGTGAGTAAACTTTTATTCATGTCAAAACAGGTTTCGTGTTTGGAAAGCAGTGTTCAAAGCTTTCTTTTGAAATTTTGAAGTTATGATGTCAAATGCCAAAATTTAAAAAAAAGAGAAAAAAGAAAGCTGTAGTACATCTGCTACTAAACAGCTGTCATTATAAATGATCACTCTACTCTTCATCATCGGACTCGAGCGTACAGTGCACGGGAGGAGTAAACCTCACCAAAGTAGCCTGTAAGCAAGCTTTCCATTTGAGGGATCTGCGTGCGGCACGCGAAAGGAGATGCGAGCCGCTTCTCTCGCCATTCTAAATGACGAAGTTGCTCGCAGGCTATACCAAAGCAACTTTCATTTGTTTGGTTGCAGTTAAAAATTTCTTTAGTAGACTCCAGCTAAATAAACCCCACTGAAATCTTAGAATTGTCCATGTTGAGACTAGAATATGTCTATTTTTTTTGCAGGCTTTAGTTCTACCACAAGCTATAGCCACACCCACTGGAGGTATCATATTGGACATGTTTGAAAAGCTGAGATGTGACATCGGTCTTGGCTACATCATACTCTTTCTTGTAACAGCTGTCTATTTTGTCCTGAGTGGAATCTTTGTCTTCAACATCAAGAAAGCAAAGTAGACAAGGAAATATTAGTCTGCGTGCTAACGTCTCAAAGAAATAGGTGTTTACACTCCAGCCAACGCCTTTGTCAACAAAACTGCTCGGGTACTTTTATGTTATTCCGGGGTCTGGCTAGCCTGATTCTTAAGCCCCGTTCACACCAAAACGGAGATAGAATTTTTTTTCTCCTTTTTAATCCACCTTCCACACTAAAACGGTCGGCGAAAAAGGAAAATTTTTAAAGAGGCGTTAATAGTCACGTGAGAGCCGAGTCAGCGCCCGATTAGGAAACGTTAGCATTCTTTACCAAATCTATGGCCGAAAATTTTCCGCATTAGCGTGGATGGTGGTATTATTTAGTATTATTTAGAACGCACTTGGAATGATAATATCCATCAATATGGACGGAACATTTTCACTCCTTTATTGTTTTTTAGTTTGGATGGTAGACTACGGGTAGTCCCCCATTTGTCCTCAGGGATAGTAGAGCGAGCGAAACGCGATTGCGCGTGAAAATCACCACACGCGAGAAAAGGCGACACGCGGCGGGGAGAGAGAGAAATAAGTCATTTGTAACAAACCCAAAGAAAATTTCTTATGGGAGTCAGAGAATTCGGGGCGAAAATGATTGCCAAATTTCACAAAATTACATCGTACACGTGAAACTTTCAGAATTTTACCTGTGTTTGCACAGTTCTTGTGAGATTTGACATTCATTTTCTCGGAGGTCCATGCGAAGTTGTCTTTGGTGTTATTACAGATGACTAATTACATCTCTAGCCCTCGAAAAATGGAAAAAAGAATGGAATATTCTTTAAATTTTTCTGGTAAAAGGTTTTTGTCCACTGAGAATTAAAATTACTCAATTTCCTGGTGGATTCCGTCTTAAAATCTTATGCCCCATTCACACATGTCAACAGAACATCTTTAATTAAACTAGGTTTTAAAAAGTGAAAAGAGACACGGAATTCTGGAACACAGGTCTTCAAACAGGATTCGAATGACATTCAATAAGTTTTGTAATTTGCACAAATTTGCAATCAACTTAAGTCGGTAAACAGCTTTAATCAAGGAAACAATTTTAAACCGTGTTTTACTAAACAGCTTTTAAACATGTTTAAGCTTTGGTGTGAATGCGGGTTTAGTTTAAAATGGTACTCACAAGTAAGCCAAAGGGATTGAGTGAAAATAAAATAGAAAATGTGCATTCAGTTTTGTGGGTTATATGATTAGGATTATTATTTTACAAGAATTTTACACCATTCTTTGTTGAGGCAAAAAATTGGAAGCGTTTTTCTTCATTTTTTAGAGGATAGTTGCTTCACATTTCTCGGGAAAAGATGTTAAAGCAAGCCACTTCTGTGGTTAAGTCAACAAAACGTAGCCACACGTGTAAATTCACACTTGCAAAATGTTTCACTGAATTATTGCCAGCATTGGATAAAGTTTATTGGTGTCTACTTTTTTTACCAAGAAAATAATATTTTCAGCTATTATATTGTATATAAAATTTCAAGAGATGGAAGTAGGGTTTTATTTATTGTTTACATTTACGTCGAACAGTTGATCATTTGTATTTAACCTGGACTGAGATAATTAGATGAATAAAAAATTAATGCGATTGTTAGGAATAGTAATAAGGCAGATCAGTCCTGCGAAGATAAACAAGAATATTTATATAGGTACAGAGCACAGTGTAAAACATTGAGGTGCGTTCAACAGGCACAGAATTTTGCAATCGTTTCTCCTGTTAGGATGATGGTTGCATGTAAATGAAGTTGTATTTCAGTAATGAAATGCCTCCCTCTCCTTCCCACCCTACATATAACATTACTGTACATGTTTAAATTACTGACTTAAAAAAATAATGACACACTTGGATCTCACCATATAGATTTTATTGCATTAGATGAACCCATGCAATGTCTACATTAGTGTGAGCACCAGGACCTTCTTTGAAACCTCCAATTAACTGAAAGCCAAGATTATCTCCTGATAGAAAAGCAATTGTTCCAGCAAAAGATTTTCTTTCTTTGTGTATCATAAACTTGTGGCCTCCATTCTAAGAAAAACAAAAAGATGCAAATAATGAATCATTAGGTAATGATGGTATTATGATAAAATGTTACAGTGTCATTGTTGCAGTTAAAAGAATTTTTCTTACTTCAGGTAATAACTTTTCATCCTATATCGATTCACAATTTTCTATTTTTACCAATCTTGTTTTTCATGTGGTGACAACATAAATTATTGGGAGTCAACCCAGTTGAATTTAAAGTTTTGTGGACTGCGACCGGATTGTACACACTGTATCTGTTTATGAATGTCAGAATATCTTTTATGTTTCTGGCTTAGTCTTGCAGCAAAGTTGTTCATTTTGCATAAGCATTGTTTCAATTTCTCTTAAGACGGCTGCAATACCCAGGAGAAATGAAAAACAAAGGTTATGCAAAATTTGGGGGGGCAAATAAGGTGCATTATGAGAGTTGTGCAAGTGGTGAATAAAGTTGTTCTTTGAGTGAGGGGCCGAATTTTATTTTCGCACTTTGTTTTATAGTAAGGCCGTCTTCCGTTCGGCAAATTTAAGCTCTGAGGTAATTTTTTTCAATGCCTTTGTGAGGGTAGCCTCCAGGTGTGTGAGTTAACTGAGTAGTTTACTCCTGTTACTCCTGTTGAAAGGTCTTTCATGAAACCTTTTGTGGTCTTTTCGTAAGCTGGGTCTCGTGCGTGCACTTCCCAGATCTGTAAGTGTTCTTTGATTGGTCTACGTTTTTTACCTTTTTTACCACTCGGGTCAGCAGACGTATGTCGAGCGAGAACCTCTAAGAAATTCTGCGTGGAAGACTACAATTTGCATTGTTTTACGTAAGAATTTTAAAAGGACAATATCTAACATTTCACGTGCTAGATTACTGTGTGATAACGCGAATTCCCTCACGTACGAACCACGAAAGTCCTACTCTTTCACGTGCAAACTGTGTCACTGTACATCTCACGCAGACTGGCTTTTCACAGTAAATAATAGTAAGTTGACCATATGAAGACCTCTTTAGTTTTGTAACCAGTGCCTTAAGTAAAGGCTCTTTTCTTTAACTTTTAGAATGTAGAATCAAGTTGTAGAATCAAGTCATCTAAGTTAAAGACTGTTCCATGAAGTAGAATTGCACGTGACAACCTCGTGAATAATGATAATGCACTCCTCTACAACGATGATGAAAATAGTAACATTTCTGAGCTATTCGGTATTCGACGAACCACATTATCTTAAGAAACCATTAAGAAACCTTCGAGTCTTCCCTCTACTTTAACAATTTGTTTATTTCGCCCAAGATGTCCGAAGGAAAGACAAAGAAAAGTGAACCTATAGAATGAGGATCGACGCAACTGTGGGCAGCGTCTCGTGTTTTCATCAATGTACAAAATAGTCTAAATTTAGGATTAACATAGTAGATTACTGGTACGGTTACACTGAAGCATTTAAAATAGCTCATGCATGCACGTTAAACGTGCCTATGTTTGCTAATCACTAGTAGTTTGGAGCAATTCTCAGAGTGGGTCTATTAGACAGGGGGCGTTCATTAGAGAGGGGCGTCTAACAGCGTAGAGGTGGCGTTTATTAGATAAGAGGCGTTTCTTTGGAAGTGGGCTATTATTAGGTCACTTGCTGCATAAAATTTTGCCGTATGAAGATTCTTCCCCAGTTTCCAAAAATATACGCGTCCTCACGTAGCGTCTTAGAATCATTTTCGCCTGTCCACATGAAAATGCTAAAACGATGGAAATCCCTTACAAAGCATGCGTAATGCTAGTAGTATAATTTTATAATGTTCGATGTTTGACATCAACCTCCGTTTTCATCCATCCCCTGTAAACGAGACGCCGGCTTTTTTAAAAAACCCTACTATGGGGACCGTTCTTGAACAACACTCTCATGTAACATACTGTCTATGTGAATTACAGCGCTATTGTTTACAGTCCAGCGCAGTTCAAGAGCTAAAACGACAAATCGAAACGAAGAAACGGTGAAACGGGACGACCGCGATACGACGGAATGATAAATGGAACGACAAAACGAACTAAAGAAGTGAAAATAGGAAAACGCTCACCACGACTTGAGGACTTGAGGGTGCCCTACTTTTAAAATATACATACCATATTTGCAAAGAGTTGTGCCCAAACCGCTTTTCACGCAATCACCCATGCTTTTGTCTCTCACTCTTGTCATATTCAATCTCCTCCAAAGTTCCTTTTCATCGCTCTTTTAATCTAGCCCTTGGCGTACTCGCCAGTTTCTCTTGTCATAATTGCAGACCTAAATGCGTTAGCGAAAACAAAATCAAGCGAATGATGAGTAACATAAAGTGGATTCGGTTTCCTGAAAATGTTAAGCTCCTTTGTTTTCCTTTAATGGAAAACTGCAAAACTTCTGAAAACAGTGGAATCCCGCTTCACGGACGCCCGTGCACAGCTGCCACTTTCGTTTGTCCTGGCGAACAGCTCATATGTTTTCTCTAAAATCAACCCGCTTAATACGGACAACGGTTCATTCGGAGAACATGTGCAAAGTGGATGGCAACAATTGCGTTTACATAGCAACGGCAATGAGAAGTGTTCCGTAGCAGATCGTTTCCTTATACGTGTCTTTTCAGACTCCTTGTCTCAAAATAATTGGCCATTTCAGGGATGGAAACGTTAATCTCTGATACTAAATAGGCCATTTCTGTGTTCTAAAAACCTTCAACTTCAAAACGTGGGCTAAGTGCAAAACTTTTCAGGTGATAATGAGTTTCATTTGCATGCGAATTAAATTTCATTTTCATAGCAATGGCTTCGCACGGAAACAAAGGCCAGAGGAAACTCCTGTTGTTATATATATATATATATATATATATATTTTTCATGATTGTATGTCCTATTTGACAGTGAACTGTCGCTCAAACAAGGTCCTTTTTTTCAGTCCTGGACTCTGTCGTCTAAAACTCCTAGACCCGTTTTTTGCCTCACATCTAGGAATAAAACAAACTAACAAAATCCATATACTCCCCCACCAAAAAAAAACCAAAAAAATCGACGAAATCTGGATCGTAGGCTCGTGATAAAAGTTATTAAATGTAATTTACTAAAAGAGATTGAATAATAAGAACAACATCACGCAATAGTTAAAGAATATATAGAACATTCATAAAAGTGAAAAAAAAAAGAAAAAACGTACATGGTAATCTGTGTCCAGGTAGATCTCCTTTTCACGCACCGCTGTACACAATTCACTGGCCTCTTCCCTTGTCATTTGAACCTCAGTCAGGAATAGGTGAGTCAGCTTAGAAACACTACTGAGATGCCGGCTGAGTTCTGTGATCCCATGACCCAGTGGGTTTTTGGATAGGTTAAGCTTTTCCAGCTCTGGTAAATCCTTCAGAGCACGTGCTACAGCTGTGGCTTCCTCTTCACCCATTTGTGTATCGCGCAAGTTCAGCTCGGTCAGGTGAGGAACACTGTGCAGGTGCTGACATAACTCACAAATACCCCGACCTAGCTTGTTACAATGCAAATCAAGGACCGTTAAACGAGAAACATTATGTAAACTACCGGCTATAGATAAAACTTCCTCTTCACCCATCTGTGTTTTAGACAGTCTCAGCCCAGTCAGATGAGGCATACTGTGTAAGTTTTTGGCTACATGAATAAGCCCACGACCAAGAGGGTTTCCTGATAACCTCAGCACTTGTAAATGTACCAGATATTTGAGTGAAATGGCAAGTAACTGGAACTCTTTATCTTCATTTGCCATATCGCGTTCCGCACTGCAGAACCTGTTATCTGACAAATCAAGCAGTCGTAGCTTAGGGGCCTGATGTAGTGACCTGGCGATTTCAGAGACACAAGTAGCTGTTAAATTTAAGTTATTGAGTGTTAGCCTGTAGAGATTGTCCGTAAAATAAGCGAAAACCTCAGGAAAACAACGTGTCAACAAACCAGGGTAGGCGTTTCTATGAGAAAGTGCACGAATAAACACCACTTGAGGTCTCTTGAGAAAAGGTAACAAACCATTCACATTCGCACGTTGTAAACCAGAGATACTCGAAATCAGAAGTATAATCTCCCTGACATATGATAGAGAGTGCTTCTGAACCCGACGTGATGTTGTTGTTGTGCGAATAGACGGCATTTCAAGAGAAGTCTGTGGAGACTCTGATGATGTTAGTACTCTGAGTAGTTTTAACTGGCTCAGCATCCACTCATTGACAAGGACTAGGCAGAGAACCATTTTTTGTTCTTCTTTCTTTAGGCAGAAAGTATCTTCACTAAAAGCGTGGCACATGCATTCATTCACAGACCTGGTTTCGCCATAACAAGTTACAATAACAGCTTCTAAATCACACATCATGGAGAAGATATAATGATTATCCTTGTATGAGCTTGAATTTTCGAACAATAAATAGTTCGGTTTACATGAATTTAAAAACTTCAATACTTTCTTTTCGGCAATGCTACGTCGCTGATCCCTGCCTACCACTACAACACCGTGAACACTGTTTACGAACAGTGGAGACACAGCCTGCATGTATGCGACCGGGCAGAACTGAAAGTAATCCAAACACAAGGTACAAAATTTTCTTTGATCCTCTGACAAATCTTTAGTGATAGGCGCCTCAGCAAAGTTGTATTCTGTCAAACCTTCTTTTTCTCCTACCAACTGAAGAAGACTAAATACAGCTTTAGCACTTTCTTCTGACCACTGCAGCATGAACACAAGAATTTCCTTCACTTTTGAAACTTTACTTAGTGAATCGATGCTTGACAAACAGTCTGCCTTTCCATCCTTGAGACCTGCCTCATGCATTATAAACCAGGCTGCCAAAAACTCTTGAATTGACTTGTGAAGGAAACAGACAATCTCATCAGGAGATGCACTAGACAGCTTAGAAATCTGGAAAAGACCAGAACGGATCATTGTTTCGCTCAGTATTTTACTTTCGGTATGAATCTGATTGAGGGGAAAATAAAGGGTTCCCTGTAACAGAGCATCTAGAGCCAGCTTTCCAATCTTGGTTAACTCTTCTCTGTAGAATTCAACGACGTTACTGCTCCTTTTCATACTTTTGCCCGACTCCTTTAAAGCCATTTGATAAAGCAGGGTCTCCACAAATCTCTCGTAGAGCTCTAGCTTTGATTTGGGCAATCCTTTACATTGTCGATCTCTCCAAACTAGACACATCATTAGCAAAAGCAACGGAAACTTCGCTATATCCCAAATCTTCTCTCTTCTTAAGTACTCTACAAGTTGCGAAGCTTCTTTTTCACCATCGACATACTTGCTGGCGAATTCTATAACTTGCTCTTCAGTATCAAAACCTATGATCTCCAGTTGGACGTCACTTGACCTCCTCACCTTGTCAATCTCTGTTAGTCGGGTAGTCATAATAGCACAGCAATCTCTAAGAAGATCTCTTTCTCTTATCCGGTCGATGGGAGACGAGGCTCCAGCATGGTACTCATCATAGCCATCTAGGACTAGTAACACTTTATCTTGGTTCTGAAGGATATAATTATGCAGGTCCTCAACGGTGATCGAGTCATCGGCGGCCAATAGTTTGGAAGCCTTTAAAACAGCTCTAAAGTCTTCTGAGCCACAAACATCTCGCAACCTAATCATCAACAAAACATCGAACTTTTTCAAGATTTCTTTTCGGTCATTTGCCCAGTCGAAAGCAATTTTTTGAGAGAAAGTGGTCTTCCCTATCCCAGGTCTTCCATAAATAAGGATTCGTTTGGGGTTTGGAAAGCGATCGGTGCCCTGGAAAATCTCGCCGTAGTCCTTGAGTTTCTTCTGACTCGTACCACGGGGAGTCTTATGATCTCTCAGCCATGAGAGATTCGTGTACACTTCATCAATGTGCACCCTGTCATCTGGGTTCCATGGAGTGATCTGTACCATGTTCATTGAGTTGTAGAATGCCTGCAGCGGACCTTGACACCGCTTTAGGTCGAATGGTTTGGAAGCTCGAACTGTTCAAAGAAACATAAAACATGTGATGAGAAGGGAGGCTTCTACCAAGTACTATTATAAGTACATTGTAATAAAACTACACAAATTATTGTGATATTTCACTTTTACTGTTCAAAGTATCCTGGCGAAATAAGACATAAATTTTAATTAGAGTCAAATTGCTGAATCATGAACAGGGAGTTATTTTATCAATGAAGTAATTAGATCTGTTAACAAAAGCGTGTTGCAGAACTAAGCTAGTCTCCTTCGCAGCCGTTAAGACATTTCAACGCTCCTCCAAATTGTGGGGAATCATGAACTGGGAGTTATTTTATCAGTGAAGGAATTAGATCTGTTAATAGAAAGCGTGTTTCAAAACCATAATTATGACACCCCAAATAGGAAACCAATTAAGATTCACGTACTAACATTGCCATCAAAATGAGGCCAAGAACGAAAAACAGCAGGATTGCCCAGGATATGCTTTACCAGAGAAGCCGCCATCACACTAGCACAGGAACACCAACTCTCTGTAGTCATGTGAGCACCATCTGCAAAATCAGCAATTCCTTTAACCAGCAGCCACTCAATCTCACTGTCAAATGCAGCCGTAAAAATGCCTGCCACAAAATAGTATTATAATCCTTAATGGAAAGAAGGAGAAGATAAAGGTGCATTGTTACGGGTCCACAAGCCCAACCAGGCAGAGCTTAACTCGGCACTTAGAGTTAATGCTACTCTGACCTGGAGTAGCAGACATGGCAGGTATTTAAAGAGAAAAAGAAAGGGCGAGTTACGGTCTGCGAGTACGTAAAGAGTGTTCCCCGCACCTTCAGTTTATTCTTCCTCTTCCTTCCCTTACAAATGCCTGCCACATAGGATACCCCCTAGAGGAGATAACATTCTACTGCAGGGTCATAGGGGAGCTCCTCGCGCGCGGAGCCCCATAGCTAAGAAAATTTGGTAATCTATCCATCCAAGAAAATTTGCTTATAACGTCAGCGTACGACTTCCCGTCTGTACAGACGCTGAGGGAGGGGGAAGCAAGTCAGACGTCAGCCCGTCGGGGGAAGAATATGTTATAGCTGAGGTGAAATTTTGCATTTCAAGCACCTCGCTCGTTTCGGCGGTAAATCTGGCCGCCCGGACTTTTAGAGAGAAAAAAACAACAACATCAACAACAACAACAACAAAAACAAGCCCTTTTTCTACTAAATTTTAACGTCTACATTAACAGGGAAAGAGCTAGAGCTAGAAATAAATAACAACGGAGGCCAATTTCGTTGGAAGAAAAACACGAAAATTATATAGCGGCGGTTAGAAAATGAGAAATGCAGCGGCTACCAAAGTGAAAATGAGTGGCAGTGAAAAAACAGAGTGAACAGGAACACAAAATATGATACATTTCCTCCATAAAACATGTAAATAGGAAGTTAAAAGAAGTTTTCACGTTCTAGTCGTGTAAAACAACGGCAAGGAAATGTTAAAAAACGTGTGCTGCACATGCAAAGTTGCAATTGTCGTTCTCGTTGTTTTCACCTTGTCTTTAATATTACTCGATTTTATATTTTCTTTGAGGAAATTACAAATATTAAAGGGAGCTTCGCTTCTAGCCCTGGCTAAATCTATGTATTATATATACATTGTGCAACAGCACGTCGCCGGTATCTTTTTACACACCTGGGTGAAGAGAAACGGATTGGAACATAAACGTTTCTTGTCTAATTAAAAAACAATGCAACATCAAGGTTTACACCTGGACCTGCAGATGTTCAGGGTGTAAGACTGCTTGGCCTCCCCTCCCCCACCAGCGGGAAAGGAGAAAATACATGAAATTTTGCAGCATATTACGTTAACAATATATATGTTGTGGTTTTCCTTGGTTTAAAATTTTTCAAACCAGTTTAATTTTTACTTTCCTTTGTCTAAAATCAATTACCATAATCAGAGACAAAGAAAAACAAAAATTAAACTAGTTTGAACATTTTAAACCAAGGAAAAATTTAAACCACAACATATTCACCACTGGCTGTACATAGTAACCTTCAAAAGTAGTGACTAATTCATTAATTATTTTGTCAAAACCATTCTTCACATGAAAAGTTAGGGACATAAAATAGTACTTATGTAAATGTACATTTTCTTCATTCAACAGCCTACCCTAGAGATGATGAGTGATGGTTTTGACAAAGAGGCCATTCTGCCAGCTAGTGCCAGGCATGCATATTAAGCACGTCACGAATGAATGCAAAAGAAAAACAGTGTTCTCCCTAGGATTTTGGGAAGTCCAGGGGCTCCTCTGACTGAGATTTTTAACAGTGTTTGTAAGAAGCCTGCTGTAGCCAGAAAAAAATTTAATGAAGACTTGGAAATTTAATTTCAGTTGTTCACTTGGTTAGCAAGTAACTGTTACTCTTCTGTTTTTTCTGAGTCCCCTAAATGGTAGCTGCTTTCTCATAATCAAAGTCTTGTTCTGATTTTCAATGTTTGGAATTAATCGATTTTGGAAGATTTGGTACCATTTTAGGTGACTGAACTTCTTCCACCGGATTTTCATCACTTTTCTGTCTCTTTTCCACAGTAAAAAAAGAGCTCAATTTGTTTTGATAAGCTTTTCAATTTTGTTCCACATGTCTTGGGTTGACTTGAGTTTTCCACTGTGATTTGTGACACTTCATAAAATGTGAGAGCGGGAATTTCAGTTCTTACTCCATGTAAGCTCCTTGAAGGGCCCTTGTGTTTCTCAGACAATTTCAAGATGACTGCCGTTTGACGAAACAAATGCATCACAGGTTTATTCATCCAACGGTAAATCACTCTTATATACAATTAATTCCAAGAAAACAAACAAATGAAAACACCATAGAAAATGTTTCATCAACATTGTTGTGTGATTTTGTCTCTGAAGTACCTACAATCTTGGACAGAATAACTGGAACAGCAAACCCCCATTCCCCCTACATGTAAATCAAAGATGAAGCCGTGCAAAAGCCAAAACGCGCCATTTTCCCATCCCCGATTTTTTGGGGGGGAGGGGGAGGGGGGTATAAATTTCCCATTTTGATTTATTTTGTCCAAGATTCTAGTTCTAGATGTCAACATAAGCTTCCATTGGGATAAATCTTTGGTTTTTAAGCCAGGCGGCAATGATTTTCCAGTGAATTAAGCCAGGCGGCAAACCTAGCCTTAAGTACCTGGGGAGAACACTGAATCCTGCTGGAATTTCAAGCAGTCAACTAACCTTCAGCTTCCATCTCCAAGGCAACTGCCTGGGGATGAAGCTCAGCAAGTTGTTTACGTCGCCAGTCAGCACTGACAAGCTCTGGGCCACTAAGAAATTCACCACAGTGAATTTTGACTTCATGATCTTCAGAGTTCTTCAAAGGTGCCTGCCAGCCATCTGCACAATTCTTGATAAGATTAAGAAAGCGTTTGCTTACATAACTCCTCATACCAGTTGATTGCTCTTGGTTATTTGTTACTACTTTGGAAGCATACGTTGAAACTTTAGCTGAAACAACAACATCTCCCAGTTGAGTCTTCTCAGGGCTGCAGAGACCGCTGCATATCCCAACAGAAATGATTGCCTTGGGTTTTAGCACAGTAACTGCATTCTTTGCCGTAATCAGGGCACTACCTGGACCAACACTGCCTCTTTCACATTGCAGCAGTGCAACTTTCACCCTATCTTCTTGATTTTGATCCACATCTTCAAAGTAAACGTAACCAAGGTCATCAAACCACCATCTGTATGGATCTTTTAACTGCTGGTAACAAGACAAAAACTCATATTTTTCCGCTGTCAGTAACACAATTTCTACAGGCAGTTGTGGTTCCTTTGCTCTTGTTGTAATATCACTCACAGAAGGAAGATCAACACTAAGAAGAGGTGGGCAACTGTTGCCAGCCTCAGAGCAGTTAGCAGCGTCGTCTCCTGAAGGTTTTGGCACATCCATTACTAAACTGTTTGAAAAGGAAAGAAAGTGTAAGAGAGCAAAATATATACATGTAAGGAATTAATACATATTTTAACACATTTGCCCCTGAACTGCCCATAACTGCCCATGTGGATCCCCATCCCTTCTACCACTTGTGATGTCATCAGTATTAACAATCAAGGACAGGTTTGTCAGCTTACTTGTGAAGAGTAAAGAGATCTTTCCAACCATACATGTACCAGGATGAGCGAGATTTGGTCAAGAAGGCAGGGGAAAAAAGCAAAAAACCATGCAACGTTGATGCAAAACTTCCCATGAAAATCTTGCTCCCATACCCACCTACCTCTTTCCTAAAATCCTTCCCAAAAACATTTCTTACCAAAATGTAGCCTACTAAATGCTCAGCAAAAGAAAAAACAAGGTAAGAAAGCCTGAGAGGAGGAAAGGAGAGATAAAGAAGAAAGAAAAGGTCAAGACTACTGTGTCATTCTTAAACCCAAAATCTACATGTATCTTGAAATTTTGGTTTCTGCACCTTTTAACATCGCAAGCTAATATTTTACATCTGGATTAGAAGACCACGAAGTGTACAGTGTATGACCTGTAAACAGCTTTGTGGTACATGTAAGTCTTCGCTCTTTATGAAGATGGTGACCAGAAAACTGTTTGACCACAGCTGTAGCTTCAAAATGTGTTTTTCAGCAAAATTCCAAGGGGCAAATACATGCAAGTTAATAAGCCAAGAGAGGGGAGCAACAAATTGCTTGTTACAATATGCTTCTATTTCATGTGCATTCAAGGCATACCACTAGTTTTTAACAGTTTTTTGGAAAGCCTTATTCTCTTTTAACTACTGGTAGATTGAGCGAAAATTATATTACATTTACAGTGTATATGTATCATAAGATAACAGTATACAAGTCAGTTTTAGGACAGTGGTTGCCTTTTTTCTGATTCTATGAATGTGTGGAAATTCTTAGATTCACACTTCTATGCATGAAACAGTAATTTTTTTCTATTTCACTACAGAGTTTGCTAACTACAAAGTTTGGGCACTGTTACTTCCCATTTGTTAGCCTGTCACATGATCCAAGATAGAAATCTGATGTGAAAAACATGCAGGGGACTAATAGTATTAAATAATAGTATTAAATAGTATTAAAAAAAACAAATAGTATTAAATAATTATTATTTCAAACCAAATCAAAATAGTTTCAAACAAAATCCACCCACTAAAAGTGCTGCTTCTAGCTAACATATCAATCCATTTTGTTTTAGTGTTAACTGATAGTAGATATTTTATTGTTACATAACAGGCCAGAGCGCCGATTTTAAGTACTAGGCGACTTTGAAAGACGCGTGCTTCACATATTTGTGGCGGATTAGAATGCCGGCTTGGTCAGAGGCCCTTTGTTTAAAACATGGCGGGATACTCGCAGCTTTATAAGGCAAGCATGTGCCTTGTAGCTGTCAACATAATGCTTTTTAATTACATTCTGTCATAATTAACAAAACCCGATCCATGTTTGATTGAAAGTAATTGTACAAATCTGGTACCAGACAAACCGCTTTTAAAAAACAAAAACACAAAACTAGTTTATGGTTATTTCTCATTAATTTCACTTGATCAAAACAAATATTTACTTTTATCAGTTTTCCCGTTTCTTTCAAAACATCCTTCATTTCCGGGCGTTTCACCGTAGTCAATGAAAGATGCGTTTTATCGGTCTTCTTTTTCGCGGGAATACCAAAATTTCCATCTTTCAAAACGCGATGAACCAAAGCTCGCAGGATACCAAAGCGCCAAAGGCGCACGATGCAGTCCCGGTGTTTTGTGAACATCCGTTAAAAATATTGAACGCCAAAACTATCAAGTTTTGGTACAGCGAGAGGCAGCTAGTTTCTGTACCCAAAGGTTAGTGCATGGACAGGCTATCGAAAGAAAATAAAAGGGATGGTTGCCCAATGGATAGCAGGCCTAACTACGCAAAATAAATGTCTCATTGCATCCTTGTCTGCGAGGTTAGTATTAAATTTACACTCTAGAATACATTACTGAACTCAATCGCAACACTTTGCAAGTAGAATTGGTGATCAGTGTGGGCAATTTATATTTCTAAGGGACGTCCGTCGCACAAAGGCTTAACGCGCGGGGGTTTTTAGTCAATGACTGACATAACAGTTTCCTCACAATCGACCCAGTTAGAATGCGATAATGTGCGCGTGAACTTTGCCTACAACTTACTGGCAATAAGCTGAATAAACCGGAAGCTGAACACCATGAATAAGTTACCTAATTACATCGCAGGTTCTTTTTCTTTTTTTTCAACTACCGGAGAGGTTTTTCGTGCATTCTGTTGCGCAGTTTGGCAGTGATATTCCTGCAATGGTTTTAGTACTGGTCCCGTTGCCGAAACCTTGCACCAGCAAGATACGGTAATCGAGAGTCGAGAATCGAGAATCGATATTGTACTCGGGACAAGAAAAGGTCGCCGTCCAAGGAACAACTGATGAAAAGCAAGAGCTTCAAGCTGCTGAGAATCGCCAATTCTGGATTACAAGCAGTGAAGGAACTCCTGAGAAGCGTCCAAATTATAAAGGAACTTTGGAGGCAAGTCAGCCACGGTGATTGTCGCACCACGCATAAAGTAGAATAAATTTGTTAGCCTGGTCTTGTCTTTGCCACAAATCACGTAAAACTATAAAGAAGGTACCACTATGAACTCTGGAAAATGAAAATTCAATAATACTATGGTTGACGACTGACAGTTCAAAAGAGAGACAACCTTCACCTCAGAATCTTGGGCGCGCCGCCTGTAAGCTCTGAGAGAGAGGGAAGCCCCTTAATTTGGCCTATTTCAAAAACAAATGACACTACAAAAATAACCTACAATTATAATTTCAAAAGAGAGACTACCATCACCTCAGAATCTTGGGCGCGCCGCCCGTAAGCTCTGAGGGAGAGGGTAGCCCCATAATTAATTTGGCCTATTTCAAAAACAAATGACACTACAAAAATAACCTACAATAATAATTTGAATAATGACCGAAATTTCAAAAGAGAGACTACCATCACCTCAGAATCTTGGGCGCGCCGCCTGTAAGCTCTGAGGGAGAGGGTAGCCCCATAATTAATTTGGCCTATTTCAAAAACAAATGACACTACAAAAATAACCTACAATGATAATTTGGATAATGACCGACATGTCAAAGGAGAGACTACCATCACCTCAGAATCTTGGGCGCGCCGCCTGTAAGCTCTGAGGGAGAGGGTAGCCCCATAATTTGGTCTATTTCAGAAACAAATGACAATGCAAAAATAACCTACAATAATAATTTGGATAAGTGACCGACATTTTAAAAGAGAGACTACCATCACCTCAGAAACTTGGGCGCGCCGCCTGTAAGCTCTAAGGGAGAGGGTAGCCCCATATTTTGGCCTATTTCAAAACAAATGACAGTACAAAGAAGAACTAAAATAATAATTTGAATAATGACCGACATTTCAAAAGAGAGACTACCATCACCTCAGAATCTTGGGCGCGCCGCCTGTAAGCTCTGAGGGAGAGGGTAGCCCCATAATTAATTTGGCCTATTTCAAAAACAAATGACACTACAAAAATAACCTACAATAATAATTTGAATAATGACCGACATTTCAAAAGAGAGACTACCATCACCTCAGAATCTTGGGCGCGCCGCCTGTAAGCTCTGAGGGAGAGGGTAGCCCCATAATTAATTTGGCCTATTTCAAAAACAAATGACACTACAAAAATAACCTACAATGATAATTTGGATAATGACCGACATGTCAAAGGAGAGACTACCATCACCTCAGAATCTTGGGCGCGCCGCCTGTAAGCTCTGAGGGAGAGGGTAGCCCCATAATTTGGTCTATTTCAGAAACAAATGACAATGCAAAAATAACCTACAATAATAATTTGGATAAGTGACCGACATTTTAAAAGAGAGACTACCATCACCTCAGAAACTTGGGCGCGCCGCCTGTAAGCTCTAAGGGAGAGGGTAGCCCCATATTTTGGCCTATTTCAAAACAAATGACAGTACAAAGAAGAACTAAAATAATAATTTGAATAATGACCGACATCAAAAAAGAGAGACTACCATCACCTCAGAATCTTTAGCGCCGCCTGTAAGCTCTGAGGGAGAGGGTAGCCCCATAATTAATTTGGCCTATTTCAAAAACAAATGACACTACAAAAATAACCTACAATAATAATTTGAATAATGACCGACATTTAAAAAGAGAGACTACCATCACCTCAGAATCTTGGGCGCGCCGCCTGTAAGCTCTGAGGGAGAGGGTAGCCCCATAATTAATTTGGCCTATTTCAAAAACAAATGACACTACAAAAATAACCTACAATGATAATTTGGATAATGACCGACATGTCAAAGGAGAGACTACCATCACCTCAGAATCTTGGGCGCGCCGCCTGTAAGCTCTGAGGGAGAGGGTAGCCCCATATTTTGGCCTATTTCAAAACAAATGACAGTACAAAGAAGAACTAAAATAATAATTTGAATAATGACCGACATTTCAAAAGAGAGACTACCATCACCTTAGAATCTTAAGCGCCGCCTGTAAGCTCCGAGGAGAGGGTAGCCCCATAATTTGGCCTATTTCAAAAAAACAAATGACAGTACAAAACAACCTACAAAAATAATTTGTATTATGACCGACATTTTAAAAGAAAGACTACCTTCACCTCTGAATCTTGGGCGTGCCGCCTGTAAGCTCTGAGGGAGAGGGTAGCCCTATAATTTGGCCTATGACACTACAAAAATCACCTACAAAAATTGTTTGGATTATGACCGACATTTCAAAAGAGAGACTACCTTCACCTCAGAATCTTGGGCGCGCTGTCTGTAAGCTCTGAGGGAGAGGGTAGCCCTATAATGTGGCCTATTAATTAAGTAAAAAGCAAGTAACAATACAAAGGTAACCTGAAATAATAATTTTTGGATTATGATTGACATTTCAAGGAGGCTAAAAT